TCTCTGTATGTATATATATCTCCTCACTATATGTTCCATTCTATGCAGCCGATGAAGTGGGATGTAGCCCACGAAAGCTTATGCTCAAATAAATTTGTTAGTCTCTAAGGTGCCACAAGTACTCCTGTTCTGTTTTCTATGAGCAGCTCTTCTGTAATGACCTCACTACTTACTAAAACCAAGTATAAGGGTACATCTATACTGCAAATTAAAGTGCAATTTCAGTGCGGGTAGGCATATCCATGCTAGATTTAACATAGCTAGTGTGGGTAGTAACAGCCGTGGGGATGCTGGTGCAGGCCCAGCATCCTCTCAGTGCCCAGGTTCCCCAGTGTGCCTCTACTGGGGCAGGTATCCTTCACTGAAGCCCACACCACATTTTCATTGCTATTGTAAGCCGTGCTAGCTAGATTAAAGCTAGGGCAGGCATGCTTACCCATGCTACAACTCTGCCTTCATTTGCAGTGTAGACATGCCCTAAAATAGCATCCCCTCTGGTTGGTTTTGGCTGACTTTGTCCTTTCACCCCAGTTCAGTGCTCCCACCTGTGGTTTATGTATGACAGAGAGAGGAATCAAGTTGAACGCTAAATGTGTTTTGTTTAAGTTAACCGTTAAAATGGCCAATTACTTTTAACGTGAGTCTTAACAGGTAGAGGTGGGCTGCTGAATAGTCAACTGGCTGCAGTTATGGAATAAGATAAATCAGATAAATAGATTCAACTTTTATAAGTTAGGTCTGAACATCTGTTTGAAAAAAACAGTTGCTTCCAGTTTTTAATCCATTTCCATTGTGTTCCTTTTCTTGCGTAGCATTGAAGGATCTGGAAGATGCAGCTTGTAAAGAAGGTGAGTTTTTACTTTAATTACTGGCCTGTTATCTCATTCCCATTCAAAGGGTGTAGTGACATAGAGCTACTGCTAATGACAATAGGTCAACTCCTGTTTGCCCTACTAACCTGAAAAGTCTTCTTGAAATTCTCACAAGAGCAAGGCAAATAGGATTTGGCCAATAACTATAGTCTGTTACCTTTGGAAGGGGAGTTAATTACCAAAGATAGTAGGAATCCATTTTATTTTTACCCCTTTCAATTGGAGCAGCTGCAGCTAGTCAAAGTTCAGGGCACTGCAGGTATTTCCAGTTAAGAGGAGAAGTTGACAATGGAGTCTTGTACCTTTTGATGCAATCATCTTTATTTATAAAGAACATACAAAGTCCTGTTTCTTCAAACACAGGAGAAATAAAAAAACATGAGAGAGTGTTCTTGCTCACAGCTCCAAATGTTCAGCCAGCTTGTTTAGGCTGTGTGTGCCTAGCATTATTTCTGCTTCTCCATGTCCCTGGGGTCATTCCGTTTTGTGCTGTGTGTGTGTGTGTGTGTCTCTCACTCACACACACACACACACACACACACACACACACACACACACACACACACACACACACACACACACACTCCCTTACCCAAAGACAATGCCCAGCAGATCTCTCTGCCTACATAGCTCAAATTCTTGCCTGCCACTGTGGTTTAGAACAGTGGTTCTGAACCTGTTTTTAAACCTTGATGGCCTCTTGCGACTCAGTAAATAGCTAAATTGTTGACATTCCACAACTCCTGTGCCACAGGGCTGGCTGGGAGATGGCTCCCCACTCCAGGTGTTGTGACCGGGTACATGGGGTTGCAGTGCCACACAAGCAAATTTGGCCTGGCCAGCCCCTCACTTATCATGACATGGAGGTAACTGGACCAAACTTGTGTGGTGTTGTGTCCCTCCATTAGGATGAGGTAGGAGCCACCACTGCAGGCTGAGTGCGGGGCAGGCTTTGCAACCCTCCCCTCCCGAGGGAGAATCCAATCACCCTGCCTCCCCTCCCCAGGCCTCCTGCATCACCCTTTGACACATTTTGGTGACCCAAGTAGGGGCTGCACCCCATGCATTGAGAAACCCTGTTTTAACTGCTATTGTTTCTTATGTTTAACCTAAATGAAGGACAGGTGCTGAAGGGTCTTTAAGCCAACCTGTAACAGTATGAATCGTTATATCCTGTTTTCAGTTCCATGCTGAGGAATTCACGTCCAAGATCAGCTACATTTTAGTCTTTTTAAATGGGAGTCAGGACTTATGTAATAGGCCTGATGACAATGGTGTGGACATAAATGGTGAGATGAGATAACGTTTTTATTTGATGGTACAAATCTCAGTTATAATGTCGGGGGATAAGATGCCGTTGGCTCAGTGAAAGCCATTCTGTTACAGTATATTTCTATTTTGAAATTCCTGCTCTGACCAGGACTGAGGAACTGCAAGGAGCTGTTAGCCAAAGGGAATATTCTGAGCGGCTGGTACACCATCTATCCCAGAGGCTGCACTGCCATGCGTGTGCTGTGTGACATGGACACAGATGGTGGAGGCTGGATTGTAAGTAAGAATTGAGGATAATGAAGCTCGTCAGACAGCTTCATGTCTCAAAATGGGAGTCAGCTCTTTCTAAGAGTGTTTGTTTTATATAGGTAAATAAAAGCAAGTGTATCCATAGAACATAGTGTCAGAGTGAAAGTAAAATGTAATCCAACTACTATCTGATGGCTAATTCTGAAATGAAAGCAAGACAGAATTCACTATTGCAGAGGTTAGCGACATGCATGTGTCCCATTGTTCACTCTGTCCCCTTGCAAGTCACTCTAGTTGTGGGTATTTGGCAGGCCTACCTGATGCTCTGTTATTCCAGCACCTTCTCTCAGCACTGCCCTCTCAGGGTTCAGCTCATGGAACCTGTTGTTCACAGGCAAAACTAAATGCAAGCAAATGATCAATGTAGTTGGTGTTGATTTTAATTTTGCTGAAAGCCTTTCAGTTGTTTCCTTTTTATAGAACACCTGATGTAAGATGCTAACATGTATGGGTAAATTCTCAGTTCTGGGCATGAGGCATTTAGACGCATCATTCCTATTAACAGCACACATCACTCAGAAATTGTCCAGAGATGCTATGAGACACACAACTTTAGGTTAACTTTATCAGTTTCCCACCTGAGTTTTTTATTTCCTCTCAGGTCTTTCAGAGACGGGCAGATGGTTCCGTTGATTTTTTCCGTGACTGGGATTCGTACAAGAGGGGTTTTGGAAGCTCACTGACAGAATTCTGGCTGGGGAATGACAATATTCACCTATTAACATCTCTTGGTATAGACATTATGGATACATTTTTTCCTCTACAATTCTGTAACCAAGAAAGAAAGTTTAGCACAAGGTGGAGCACACCAGTAGCACTGAAACTGCTGCCCGAATCCAAACTGGCTATTCTCTATAGAATAGTTCTGCCAGGAAAAGTTATCAAAACTAGTAACACTCTCTAGCTGTGCTGGCTACAAGTAAGCTTGGTTACATTTAGAGATGGTAGAGGTGACTGAATAGTGAATGTCCAGCATCTGATCGTATGTTAAATCTAATCTTGCTCCCTCCTTGGGTAACTCGGACCTGCGCAGTGTTGTCATGTCATGTCATTTACAGAGACAATGGATGAAGTCCCATTGAAGTCAGTTGCAGAAATGTTATTGACTTCAATGGGGCCAGGATTTTACCCAAATTCTCCAGAAGGTGAGACATCCAACCTGACAAATCCAAATCCTCTCCAATTAACTGTTTCAGCCCTGTAGCATAATTTCCTAAGGTAGTGACCCGGCTCTTGCCAGAGGCTGTGATCCTGTGAATGAGCGGTGCAAGAAGCTCTTAGGCTGTTGTTGCCCAGAAGGTTAGCAAGTAGCAAAATAACCAGTCCATCTGTATGACTGCAGACACAGCTATCTACCCAGCATCTGCAGAATAAGTCAGCTTCAAATCTAGCTAAATTCTCTCTCTGTCTTTTTCCATGTTCCTAATGGTTCCTTCTTGTCTCCCATTTGACTCGGAGATCCAGAACTGTGAACTAATTCCAGTGACAGGGATTCTCAGCTAACCAGTGGGGGCAAGACAGGTGCTAAGGTTGCCTTTTGCTGGTTCATTAGTGAACTGACTCTGGGCAGCCCACGGAGTGTTGAATGCTCCCGATTCTGATCTATTAGCTGGAACAGAAGTGTTAGCTGTAGGTGCACTTTGCTAATGAGGAAGTGAGATTGGGGGGTGTATCTGGGTTAGCAATGGTTCATAAGTTGATGGCTTGGCCTGTGTAGATGAGGCTCACCCCAAAATAAACCCAAAATTATACAAGATGCTAATGGAATGTATTGAATATTTGCTAATCTTCATGTCTTTAACAGGAGCTAACGAACTGCGCATTGACCTCCGAGATTTTGAAAATAACCATGTTTTTGCCAAGTTCAAGTCATTCAAAATTTTAGACGAGACTCAGAAATACAAGCTGATTCTAGGAGACTTTATTAACAGCACTGCAGGTAGGTGGTTGCCCCATTCTGCGGTGATCATACCAGAGGGAGCACATGCAAATAGAGCTAAAATGTACACGATCTTGTGGCTAAATCTGAAATCCCACCATTGGCAAAATCTGAGTTTGTTTAGCCTCTTAGAAAATCACGGGCTCATGTTTAATTACACCATCTGAAAACGCCACCCCCGACATAATCTGGGAAGATGCCGCCTCAAGTATCATTTATTTAAAGAATAGGCTTCCTGTGATTCTTTCATGCATATGAAGTCAGATTTGGGATTGTTAAGATTACTCCTATGATGGTTTAGTGTCATAGGACTAGTGTAAAAAGTTTTCTCCAACAAGTCTGCAGCGAAAATAGTTTGAAATGATTCCGCAAGTGGAAGGGAAATAGGTATGGAAACCATAAAAGGGGCTTCTTCATTAAGAAAAGAGGTTGCATTCATTCTCGTGTTAAAATAGAGGCAGTCTAAGCCACTCTGCCAGCATAGGGGTTGAATAAACTGCTGGCCTGATTTAGAGAAGCTCTCTTTCCACTCTCCTATTTGCTGAGAGTAATCATACACTACTCCTGCCACCTCACACCAACAGCTAGATAGCAGGTCATAGGTACCTCGCAGGACTCAATGCTTCCTCATTAGTTAGGTCGGGTTGTTGGTGGCAGCCAGCATTGGTAGAAGCCTTCTGTAAAGAAGGGGATGAGAAATGAAATGAGGTGTTTGGCCACATACACTTATACACAAAAATATTCTGCATACCAAGGCATTTGGACTTGAACTTTAGGAGATGATTCTGGTGAGGAACACCGATATTTTCCTGTGTATGTGCAAGTTATGTAAGTGAAGGGAAGTCACAGCGGTAACCTGAGCCACTGAAAAGTCTTTTGGGGTTAGTTTTCAGGGTTTAGAGATGTGTAAGCATGACCCCCATGTAAAGAAGGCCAGGTACGTTAATGGAAATAATACCTGAAGACATGTATAAAAGCTGTAAACCAACATGTTATGATAGTGACAAATTGACATGGCTCCTGTAAAGGAAAACTGTCTTCCCTATCAGAATTCCCTATCAGAAGTGTTCTTTACTGCTTCTCATAACACAAGAACTAGGGGTCACCAAATGAAATTAATAGGCAGCAGGTTTAAAACAAAAGGAAGTATTTCTTCACACAACGCACAGTCAACCTGTGGAACTCCTTGCCAGAGGATGTTGTGAAGGCCAAGACCATAACAGAGTTCAAAAAAGAACTAGATAAGTTCATGGAGGATAGGTCCATCAATGGTTATTAGCCAGGATGGGCAGAAATGGTTTCCCTAGCCTCTGTTTGCCAGAAGCTGGGAATGGGTGACAGGAGATGGATCACTTGATGATTACCTGTTCTGTTCATTCCCTTTGGGGCACCTGGCACTGGCCACTGTGGGAAGACAGGACACTGGCCTAGATGGACCTTTGGTCTGACCCAGTACGGCTGTTCTTATGTTCTTAGAATTCTTTGAGCATGTCAACTAAACAGTGGATAAAAATATATATTTAGACTTTGAAAAAGTCTTTGAAATTTTGAGACCTCTCAAAAAAAGGCTATTAAGGAAACTAAATAGTGATAGAGTGAGATGCAATGTATTAGTGTGGATCAGAAATGGGCTAAAATAAGGAATAACTGGTCAATTTTGAACATGGTTAAAGATTAACACTCTGCTGCTGCAAGGATCTGGTGGTGTCTAATGTGTTTATTAATGACAGGGAAATCTGGATGAGTAATAAGGTGGCAACAGCTGCATCTGATCTTAAAAAAATGTTGTGTGAGGAACTTCAGAGGATCTAGCCCAGGTTGGTTGATGTAGATGAAACTCACTGCTGACCCATGCAAAGTAACACACGTCAGAAGGAATGATTTTCACTTCTCGTACACATTGCTGGGTTCTAAATCAGCTGCAGCCACTCAGGGAAAAGATCTGGGCATCACTGTGGACATCTCAATGAAACTCATTATGCAGCAAAGCTTAAAAAGCAGCAAAGTGTTGGGATGCATAAGGAATGAGAGCAAATACTGAAGGAATTAGTTATAATGCAATGTTATTGTATGCCCTGACGTGGAATATGGTGTCCAGTTCCGATCCAGATATCTCAGAAATACAACCTAAACCGAGAAGGTTCAGAAGTGAGCAACAAAAAGGATTAAAACTGGGATTTTCAAAGGAGCCTAAGGACTTGTGCACAGGCAGAAGCTATTACAAAATAAATTAAGGTGTGAATTTAAGTGCAATAGCTATACCATGCTAATGCCCCATGTGGACACGCTTCTCACTCACTAAGAGCGCCTTTGTGTATTCAGTTTAATCCACTGAATTAAGCTAAACCACAGAAAGGCACTTTTCATGCGAAATAAGTGTTCGCACAGTGAGCTATTCTACAATAGCTATTCTGGACTTCTGCCTCATGTAGACAAGCCCTAGGAATGTGAGGGTGCCCAAATCCCATTGAAATGTAATGGAAGTTGTGTGGCTGGCTCCCTCTTTAACGCTCAGCCTAGAAGCCTGGAGACACTTCCACTGAAAGAGAGAATGAAAAGATTGGGACTGTGTAGCCTGAAGAGGAGGCAAATGAGGGTGAATTTGCTCCTCCCAGTTACCCTTCTCTTAATACAAACATAGGGCAACCTCCAATTAAAGTGAACAGCAGGAACTTTAAAACTTATAAAGGAATTATTTTTATATGCAAAACTTAATTAACCCATGGAACTGATTGCCACAGTATATCAAGACCAGCTGTTCAGTAGGATTCGGGAAAGGATGGGACATTTATATGGATAATTCGAATGCTCCCAGCTTTCTTAGGCAAGACATTATAAGGCATGTAAAACCTCACCCTTCAGGGCAGAAATCAGTCTCCTAACCGACATGGTTAGGAAGAAACCTCCTCTGTGAGCAAGTTACTGGACATAGTTGGAGACAGGAAAGAGTATTTGGTGATGCCCTGTTCTAAACTGATCCAATTCCCTGTATATGTAGGGCTGAGAGTGTGGGCCTCTGAGCCCTGCTTTAAAAACAGCCCCATCCTTCTCTCGCCTCAGAGAAATGTCAGGTTACTGCAGCACCCGGCTTGTATTGCAAGGACTTTGTTTTACCCCATGACATGGGAAATGAACGATCTTACTCTAGAACCAGTAACTAAGAAACAACTGGGGTAAAAAGATCTTTTTTGTTTTTATCACAGGTGATTCATTAGCAGCTCACAGGAACAAGTTCTTTACAACAAAAGACCGTGATAATGATCCTGCTTCCATTAATTGTGCTACACTTTACAAAGGGGCCTGGTGGTACAGTAATTGCCACGACTCAAACCTCAATGGGATGTATTGGCTGGGAGCCCATAATAGCACCGGAAATGGTATAATCTGGCACGCCAGCAGAGGCAACAAATATTCCTTCAAACTCTCAGAAATGAAATTTCGGCCTGTTCAGCAATGATGAGATGGCAGCCCATGTTCCTCCTGCTTTCCCAGGTATCCGCTTGCAGTGAGCACGTGTGGAAAAAACTGCAGAGAGGAACCAGCCAAAACCACCGGCCACTAGGAGCAGCTGCAGGAGCAGCCAAAGCAGGGACCTTCAGCCATTCACAGAACTTCCTCCTGTTTCTCTGCCCTCATCTGATTTGTCTTTTGGCCACAACCCTTTCCTCAGTCTCTTAACCTCACCATCACACTTATTCCTCTTACCCTTTTCCCTAACCCTGCCCCCTCAGCCTCCTTTCCTGCAATGTCCCCTCTCCCTTCCCCTTTCTTTCCATGTAGCCGATCCCCTCCTAACTAAACACCCCCTCTCCCCCCAACAACAACAAAATCGTGGCACTAAAATGACATTTGCTGCCATTGCATTGTTCACGCTGCTGGTGTGTTCTAGCCCTTCCCCCACCCAGTGTCTGTCCTGTCAATGTAGCTTGTGAGCTCTTCTGGGCAGGGACTGTCTGAGCGCTTCAGGGCCGAGCACTCTTGTACGGGGAGATTTTGGCAAACCGGTGAAATGCCTGAAACCACGATTGCTTATTGCTAAAAGCAGCCAAGTCAGCAGGCTGTAAAGTGGCCATGCAGCAGCCTTAGCTTCACCAAGGCAGGAGGGGAGGGGGTTTTGGTGCCACAGAAAGGGCAGCTTGACCCCACGTCCTTCCTGATAAGAATTGTGTTGAAGTTGCTGATACATGCATTTTAGAAGAGCAGGATGTGCCCTCAGGAATGTATCTGACAGGGCCTCAAGGCTGCAAACTCTGGGAAAAACCACTGATTAACCACCATTGAAAAACCATTGATTAACCACCCCTGGTTAATCAATAATCAGAAGGAAACCTCTTGCTTGACCGTTGAAACTGCTTGCTTAACAAGTTTTTCTTTAAGTGACATGTCATTGTATTACTAATGTATAAATGAGGAGGAAAAGTTTGAGGTAGTGGGACTCTCCCTCTGGATGCATTTTGTGTTCTCCACCGACTGCCGCTGTGCCACTCGAGAGCCACACTCAGCTTCGGTAATTATCGAGGGTTGGGGTGTTTTACTAACCTGTTGCGGACGTGTGTAAGTGCCTGAGACTAAGTAAAGTTTAGCTGTAAGTGAAAGCACTCTTGTGTTGTCCTGTTTGTGCCAGCCATCTATTCGTCGGATTGCCGTGTCTCCCCTGATTTATTTCCTGACACCATCTCGCACAGAGTAAAAGTTACCAAGAGCTTTGGGTTGGAAGAACTGTGGGTAACACTCTGGTTGGTCGTTAGGCGCTGCCATAATAAATATGGTTAATAATACCGTATATGTCTGCACAAGCTTCTACATTGCAAATGCTTGCACTGGCATTGTGAAAACACCTTGTGGATTGGGAGCTGTAAGAGGAAAAAAGGGATACGTTGAAAGAGGAGTGGGAGAAACAAAAACCAAGTAAGATAATGAGGGGCAGCAGGAGAGATGGCGTGGGAGTGTGGTTTTGCAACTGCTATGAAGAAAGGTGGTTTTACAGCCTGGCCCAATAACCCTTTACAGGGTCATTGGTCTGTTGGAAGTGGGCACAAGTGCTGGGCCCCACGTGCTTCCAAGCTGACTGTGTCTGGACACAGTCTAGCCACTATATCTATCTCTGGGGTGCTAAGGAACGTTCCCAGACTCCTTGTGTCTGATGCCTCTAGTAGTAGATTTTCCCCTGCCACACACACAAAAGCTTAGTGGAGGAGATAAGGAGGATGGCACAGGAAGTCCCACCCACCTCACTGCCACCACAAGTCCTGCCTTAAACAGAGATGACAACTCCCTTTTGGGGAGTGGCCAACCCCCCAGCTTATGGCCCCTGACCCTCAACAAGAAGGCCTGCTTTACCTAGCAAGGGAAGCCAATAGGATTTAGTCAATCCTTAAAGTAAACCCTGAAAAGTTACCATCTCTCAGCTGACAACTCACAAATCTACTTCTCTACACCTGACTAGTCTCCTGTCCAAGCTAAAATCTCTACCTGTCTCTCTGACATCTCCATATGGAGGTCTAGCTGTCAGCTAGAATAAATAAGAAGAAAACAAAGAAAGAAGAAGTGGGACCACTAAACACTGAGGATGGAGTGAGGGTTAAGGATAATCTAGGCATGGCCCAATATCTAAACAAATACTTTGCCTCAGTCTTTAATGAGGCTAATGAGGAGCTTAGGGATAATGGGAGGATGACAAATGGGAATGAGGATATGGAGGTAGATATTACCGCATCCGAGGTAGAAGCCAAACTTGAACAGCTTAATGGGACTAAATCGGGGGGCCCAGATAATCTTCATCCAAGAATATTAAAGGAACTGGCACATGAAATTGCAAGCCCCTTAGCAAGAATTTTTAATGAATCAGTAAACTCAGGGGTTGTACCGTACGACTGGAGAATTGCTAACATAGTTCCTATTTTTAAGAAAGGGGAAAAAAGGTGATCCGAGTAACTATAGGCCTGTTAGTTTGACATCTGTAGTATGCAAGGTCTTGGAAAAAATTTTGAAGGAGAAAGTAGTTAAGGACATTGAGGTCAATGGTAATTGGGACAAAATACAACATGGTTTTACAAAAGGTAGATCGTGCCAAACCAACCTGGTCTCCTTTGAGAAGGTAACAGATTTTTTAGACAAAGGAAACGCAGTGGATCTAATTTACCTCGATTTCAGTAAGGCATTTGATACGGTTCCACATGGGGAATTATTAGCTAAATTGGAAAAGATGGGGATCAATATGAAAACTGAAAGGTGGATAAGGAGCTGGTTAAAGGGGAGACTACAACGGGTCGTACTGAAAGATGAACTGTCAACCTGGAAGGAGGTTACTAGTGGAGTTCCTCAGGGATCGGTTTTGGGACCAATCTTATTTAATCTTTTTATTACTGATCTTGGCACAAAAAATGGGAATGTGCTAATAAAGTTTGCGGATGACACAAAGCTGGGAGGTATTGCTAATACAGAGAAGGACCGGGATATCATACAGGAAGATCTGGATGACCTTGTAAACTGGAGTAATAGTAATAGGATGAAATTTAATAGTGAAAAGTGCAAGATCATGCATTTAGGGATTAATAACAAGAAGTTTGGTTATAAATTGGGGACACATCAGTTGGAAGTAACAGAGGAGGAGAAGGACCTCGGAGTATTGGTTGATCACAGGATGACTATGAGCCGCCAATGTGATATGGCCGTTAAAAAAGCTAATGCGATCTTGGGATGCATCAGGCGAGGTATTTCCAGTAAAGATAAGGAGGTGTTAGTACCGTTATACAAGGCACTGGTGAGACCTCATCTGGAATACTGAGTGCAGTTCTGGTCTCCCATGTTTAAGAATGATGAATTCAAACTGGAACAGGTACAGAGAAGGGCTACCAGGATGATCCGAGGAATGGAAAACCTGTCTTATGAAAGGAGACTCAAAGAGCTTGGCTTGTTTAGCCTAACCAAAAGAAGCCTGAGGGGGGATATGATTGCTCTTTATAAATATATCAGAGGGATAAATATCAGGGAGGGAGAGGAATTATTTAAGCTTAGTACCACTGTGGACACAAGAACAAATGGATATAAACTGGACATTAGGAAGTTTAGACTTGAAACTAGATGAAGGTTTCTAACCATTAGAGGAGTGAAGTTCTGGAACAGCCTTCCAAGGGGAGTAGTGGGGGCAAAAGACATATCTGGCTTTAAGACTAAGCTTGATAAGTTTATGGAGGGGATGGTATGATGGGATAGCCTAATTTTGGCAATTAATTGATCTTTGATTATTAGCAGGTAAATATGCCCAATGGTCTGGGATAGGATGTTAGGTGGGGTGGGATCTGAGTTACTACAGAGAATTCTTTCTTGGGTGCTGGCTGGTGAGCCTTGCCCACATGCTCAGGGGTTTAACTGATCAAAAAAAATTAAATTAAATTAATGGAGATATCCCATCTCCTAGAACTGGAAGGGACCTTGAAAGGTCATCGAGTCCATCCCCCTGCCTTCACTAGCAGGACTAAGTACTGATTTTGCCCCAGATCCCCAAGTGGCCCCCTCAAGGATTGAACTCACAACACGGGGTTTAGCAGGCCAGTGCTCAAACCACTGAGCTATCCCTCCCCCCTAATCATCATATTTGGGGTCGGGAAGGAATTTTCCTCCAGGGCAGATTGGCAGAGGCCCTGGAGGTTTTTCACCTTCCTCTGCAGCGTGGGGCACGGGTCACTTGCTGGAGGATTCTCTGCACCTTGAGGTGTTTAAACCACAATTTGAGGACTTCAATAACTCAGGCATAGGTTAGGGGTTTGTTACAGGAGTGGGTGGGTGAGATTCTGTGGCCTGCATTGTGCAGGAGGTCAGACTAGATGATCATAATGGTCCCTTCTGACCTTAAAGTCTATGAGCTCAAACTCAACGTGGCTAAAAGAGAGCTCTTAATCCTGCCCCCTCATGACCTCCCCAAAACCTCCTTTCTTGATCACTGTGGGTAATATCACCATCTGGCCTGTCTCTCAGGTCCATAACCTGGGCATCACCTTCAACTTGGACCTCTCTGGAGGTCCTCACATCCAGGCTACATCTAAATCTTCTGGATTCTTTCTGCATAATGTTGCTGTGATATGACTTTTCCTGTCCATCCATGCGGCTAAACTCATGCACTCCTTCAAAAACCTCCTAAAAATGTTCCTTTTCTGTAATGCCGACAAAGAACTTGACAATGGTTAGGCTGCTGGTGTGCTGAGGTGACTTCCTACCCTGCTGACTAATATTGCCTCATTGTTTTCTTGTCCTCCCTCATCAGTCTAGCTGTCTCCACTTCTTGCCCTTTGTCTTATACTTGGGTTATATGCTCCTTGGGGTAGGGGACGTCTTTTTTTGTTATGTGTTTGGGTATGTCTACACTACGAGAGTAGTTCGATTTTAGTTAAATCGAATATGTGCAATCGATATTAGAAAGTCGAACGTGTGTGTCCACACTAAGGACAGTAATTCGAC